CAATTGCCACGAATTTGGAGCCAGACGCCACGAATATAACTTCTTATTTTCCCAGAACCCTCAGCCTTTTACCGTTATACATAACCCCGAAGCCTAACCCTCTGGCAGGATCCGTTGCCTGCTGGGACCTCTTCTGTGTCTACATTGCCGTGGTTCACTTTCATTGCGCCCGAGTTGGATTCGTTCTTTACGCGACCTGGGGACCTGGGGACAAGACTATCTTCGCAGATATTCTCCGGGCTGATGGGCTTGATGTGCCTTTGCATATACTCAGTGGTCGTGAGCATGTATTCTTTGCTACATTCACGTTATGAGCCATTCTGATTCCATGCAGTTCTGATTGCCAACGATGTTGTCAGAAATTCCGTGCTGTTCTGTAAGTCCTGACGCAAAGCATTCAGGCTTCACTCGTTAACTTCATGGAGGATGCTTTCGGGGATGGCTCGCAGTATTCGCTCCAGGTTCTTGGACGTGAGGCTCCCGAAGCTGCGCAGGCTTTGTCGTTTGTGGGCCGCAAAGCTTTCGATAAGTGCTGTGCTGCACTCGCGCAGAACAAGGAGCGAAATCATGTAGTGTAGCGTTCAAAGTTCGTGCGCATTGCGTAGGATAAACAAGTCATCCATGTCAGTCTCTTCCAGGATGCTATTCTTCGACGCGCGGACAATGGAGCTATCCAGAGGAATCTGGCAGGTGAAGGGGGGGGGAGATTTCCATGGCTTCCTTGCGTGCGTGGGTATCTTAGTCAGTTGGGATTTCAGGCAATTTTGATGGTGCTTCGACGCCTCGCAGGAATCCAGGCCTTGCAGCGTGTTCCAATGAAACAATCTACTTTAGGCTTCCCCTGGTTCAGGCGATGTGCCCGTCAAGAAGAGGCGGAGGAGAAAGATGATCCAGCAGGTGGGTTCGTCAACTGCTAGTCCTTGGGTCATGCCATGAAAGAACAACCGCAAACATTGCTCAGGTGCCCTTCGCTGTGTGAAGGATGAAGTTGAGTCGGCTCACCCGGGTGGCCACGGTGGAGGATGCTGCACTGACTTGCCTGCGCTGGCGCTTCCTTCTTGATGGCATCTTGGAACCTGGCAGGACTTTATGCTCCTGCGGTGAAATCCGAATTTCGGGAGGAGGCGGGACGGATGTTGTTTATCACCACTGGGTTCTCGGGGTCCTGTGCGCACGCAATCCAAATGGTCCCATTGGAGGCTTTCGAAGATGCGTATGATGATGACGATTGATAGATGGATGCAGGAATTCGCATCCATGCAGCTGGCATGCCCCAGCATCTGTGATTTGGACAGATTTGGTTGCGAGCCTTGAAAACATGTTTCTGTGCTTCTTGAGCGTGCAGTCAAGTCCACCCTTGAGTTTTTCTGCAGCTGCAAACACATGTGAATTTGAGCGTTTGCTTTGCATGTCCAGTTGCATGTTTTCGGGTTCTGCAAGTACCAGTTGCTCCCATGAAGAATTTTCACGGCTCCCGAAAATCCGTTCCATTTCCGATTCCCTCCGGCCGCTGTTCCGCGACGCGTCTCTTCGCTGGTCGGTCACGCGCGACTGCGCGCCTCGTCTACATCGCGGCCCGTGTCCAGGGCTGAGGTGAAATGAAATCGCGTTTCATTTTCGGTGAAAACATATGATGCAGGCACGAATTATGAAGCTGAAGTTTCGCACGTTTCAGGTCCGATCGCGTTTCATTTTCCCGATCGCGTTTCTTTTTTTTACGAGGAAAGCGTTATGATAGATTTAGTTCGCCTCGGCAGACTCTCCGCGACAAACGCGCGAACGCGTACCAAAAAAACCTTCGCGCGCACGAGTTTGGGATCGCGTTTCATTTTTTTGTGCGCGGGCCGTAGCCAGACCGGCCCGAAAAAGGATCTCAAGTTCCAGCGCCGATTTTCGCACGCCCCGCCGAATCATGGTCAACAGATTGGTATGGGACGGTCAGAAGCTGGCTCATTGACATTTCATCAGCTACCTGACTGAGCGTGTGCCTTCCGGCCAACTTACATGGTAGCGGAGCTACGGCTCCAGGGAAGAAGTCTATCGTCAAGGTTTCTGGCGATCTTGTGTGTGTGTGTGTGTGAGAATGGCGACCAGTGTGAAAGAGTTGCTAGGGGGGAGGAATGGGGGATTTAAATATTCTCCATGTCTTATAAACCCTAAACCCTAAGCCCCTAAACACTCTTTAGACCAAACCCCAAACCCCTTAGCCCAAATTCCTAAACCATTTGGTCCCAAACCCATTCGGCTAAACTCCTACCCCCTAAGCCCAAAACATTAAGCCCCAAACCCTGGTAACCCTAGACAAACTCCTGAGCCATAAGGCCAAGCCATTAAGCCCTAAACCCTAGCCTCAACTCCTGAGCCTAAACCATTCAACCCTGAACCCTATAAACCCAAGCCCCAATTCTAGACCTTAAACCTTGAAACCCCAAACCCTAAATACTTAAACCCCAGCCCAGAGCCCTGAGGCTCCAAAAAAAATCAAACATGGTTGCAAAAACAGCCTAGCAACAAGCAAGCAAAGCAGCATTAGCAAGCAGAGCATGGACGTATGTGAAATCAACAAAATCAGAAACATATGTAGCTTAGAAGCACAGCACTTAGCTTGCCATGGCACCCAAAAAAGGCCCAGCAGTGTCAAGCTGGAGCCCCAAAGGCCCAAAAAGCAAAAGAAACAGCAAGAGAAGGCCACAGTAAAGGCTGAGAAGGCCAGCCCCAAAGAAAAAGCAAGACAAGAGCAAGAAGGACTTTGAGGCCCCTTCCAGGGATGCATGGAGAGACATTAGAAATCAGATGATTAGCCTGGAGAAGGCCAAGAAAGCCCTACACTTGGTGGAAGCCTGGAAAGGCAAGAGAACCCAAGCCCAAAAACGGCAATTCTACTATGAGGTCTTCTTGCTGGACCCCCTGGTCAGCCAGAAAAGTGTCCACAAGGAGGCTTCCCAGAGGAACTACAGCCTGCAGAGGCAGGTCGAGGGCTGGATACCAAGTGGAAGATTGGTAAGTTTGGGGGCAGACCCCTCCATGCCCAACTTCCAACACCTCTGTGAGGCAGCCTGCGAAGGCTTCCCAGAGAGAGACCATGAAGTCAAAGCCTGGGCTTTGAAAGGCATCAAGCAGTAACAGCAAGAAATTGCGTAAGGAAAACAATGTTGAGGATGGCAGCCTGGTCAAAGCCAAGAGAGTGTCGGAAGGCAGCACACGTTGATCCAAAGTTCCCTAGTTGGAATGGAGACTGGACATCCTTCACGGACTACACGTTGAGGGTCGAACTTCGAGCAGATTCCACTAAGGAGGAGGACCTGCCTCACTTGGGGCCAAGACTGGCCAACAACCTGACTGGACGGGCCTTTGACAGCTTGGGCGATGCTGACAGAAGTGAACTTCGCAAGAAGGAGGGCTGGCAGTATCTGCTGCGACATCTGGAGAAGACTCGTGGCAAGACAAAGAAAGGTTGATCGCGTACCGTCGCGACAACGAGGAGATCAACGACTACGAAGTCCCGGCCCGGTTCCGGGCCTTGGTCCGGAAGATGGAGAAGGCTCTTCAAGCAGTTGGGTCCGAAGGCAAGGTCCCTCAGGAAGTTTACGGCTGGTTCTTGCTGAACATCTTCATGCGACTCGAGGCCTCGGACACGGCAAACGTTCGGGGCACGGCCAAGAGTGACAAGCTTGAGGATGTGATGTCCGCCCTGCGCGCAATGTGGTCAGGAGCAAGCTTGGCTCAGCGAGATGCGGAGCTAAAGCGGCGCAAGCAGACGAATGGCAGCTACATGTGTGAAGAATATGGCCCTGATAGTGAAGTCTAGTCTACATGCAGTCCTATGAGGATGGCGAGCTCTTCGACGACGAGGAGACCACGGACATGGAAGAGGCAGCCACTTGGTATCAAGAGGCCAGGGGCACTCTTCTTGAAGACCCGGAGAATGAGCAGACCCTCCAACTTCAAGGAAGCACGCCGTGCCTTGGACAAGGCCAAGACGGCTCGAGGCTACTATCCCGTACAGAATCCGAATGGAGGCAAAGGCTCCTACGGAAAGAGTGGTAAGGGTAACGGTGATTACTCGGACAAAATCTGTATGAGGTGCGGCAAGAAAGGGCACATCGCACGGATATGCCCCCAAAGACCTTCATACGGACCCAAAGGGAAGGGCCGAGGAAATGGAACAATGAGCCCCCAGTTGAGGCGCCAATGGGCTCCACAACTGCGGAGACCGTCCCCGCGGATGCAGGAGTGTGTCTCGCAACCTGGACGACCAGTGAGCAGGCCGGGCTTGGCACAGAGGCGACCAGGAGCGAGGCTTCAAGCCATCATCGACTCGAGAACATTGTTGGCGAGGACACCCTCCATTCGATCCTTCGGAGGAGATTGAGGTGGACCGACAGGTGCGCAACAGCTTCACCTATGGCAACCAGTCCAACTCAGGACTGGGCTTGTGCAAGCCCACATGGTGGAGGGCGGCACACCCTTTCTCCTTTCGTCGAAGTTCCTGTGCGACATGGATGCCACGATCAACTTTCGATCTGGAATAGCCATCTTCAAGCGGTTGTCAGATCAGCAGTTTCGGCTGGAGCGAAGTCCCAGCAACCACCTCTTGCTGCCCTTGACAGCCTTTGCAGGTCGTGAAGATGTACTGAGCCAGATCTGGGTCACAGCGCATGATGAAACTGTAGCCGAGCTGAGCAAAGCTCAGCTTGAAGCCGGTGAAGATCAGAGCACTAGTGATAGCTTCAAGGGGATCCGCTCACGAAGCCCAAGGCAGATGCTCAAGGCTAGGGACAGCTCCACCAGGACCCTAATGGACGTCCTGAAGAGCAGGATGTAGTGGTCTTGAGTGGATGTTCGAATCATGACTCGGAAGCTAGCAGGGATGTTGATAGTGGTTTCTTTGTGGACTGTAGTGATACCCCTGAAGATTGTTTTGTTCAAATATCTAGTAAACAACGTACAAGCCTTGAGCATGAAGGACAACAAGAAGTCATTCAAGCAGGACAAGCTCTGTATGAGCTGACTAAGGGATCGTCACTTGACTTCTTGGAAGTCTGCGCGCCTTGGGACGCACCTCTTTCATCGGCTGTGAGAGAGGCTGGGGGAAAGGCCAGGGTTTCGTAAAGCTGCGGATCTAGTGCGAGCGAGTAGACCCCGATACCTCCATCTGTCACCACCCTGCTATCCTTGGAGCCCCCTGCGTAATCTTGTTAAGCATGGACCCACGGAAGCTAAACAGAAGCAACAACTTCAGAGAGACAGAGTGTATAGCCGTCGGTTGTTGAAAAACTGTAGGAAGTTGATGGAGATTGAGCGCAGGGAACTCAATGCCCAAGCCGGGGCAACCAACGAGAGATCTCCTGCTCGATTATAGGTTCTCAACCACAGCCGAAGTCCCTCTACCGCCTCCTGAGGACCTTGTACCGGCTCTGGAGCTTCGATCTTGCGGAGGAGCTGGGACTTCTCAGTAGCCGAGCCCGGCCTACACAGAACCATCAGCCTGCACATCACTTCCAGCGCCGACCTTGCTCTAACAGCAACCAGTTCTTTTCTTACATCCTCTGGAACCACCTGGAGCAGCATCGTTGTCGCTCTCTCATCCAACCGAACCCATTTCGGGTCCCGAAGTTCAGGTGACACCATCGGGCACAAAGTCAATCTCGTGAAATAGTCCGCCGATTGATACTGCTCAAAGAACTGTTGCGAGGCATCTTTTACATGCCCCCACCACTCAGCAGATCCTCCGGACAGGTCGCCCATGATGTTTTCTAGTTGATGGGCCCAATCTCCATAATCTACCGAGGCAGCTTCCGATACTTCCGGAAGTTTAGTCAGTTCTGTGGGACCCTTTCCGAAGTCCTCACCCCTCGACTTCCCACTTATAACCTTTTCAAGGCCCTCTAACAACTTTGCGATAGGATCTGAGGCCGTTGCCGACCGTTGGGGCTCCTTGAACGCTGCCGGCCTGCTCGCACTCTTGGACCTTCTCGACTAAAGTCCTCCGCCAGAGCAGCTTCCTCACCCACTCCTCTGGAAGATTGCTGCAAAGCCGTCCTTGCCACATCTTGCAAACTTGCCGAAGGCATTCGCAACGCGGTTTGTCCATGCGAACTGGTAGTAGGGACCTGCAAACCGGTTTGTCCATGCAAAGTCGTAGAAGGAGCCTGCAAACCGGTTTGTCCATGCAAAGTTGTGGTAGGAGCCTGCAAAGCGGTTTGCTGATACGAAGTTGTAGTAGGAGCCTGCAAAGCGGTTTGCCCATGCGAAGTTGTAGTAGAAGCCTGCAAACCGGTTTGCCGATTTTCTGCACTTTGCCGCAATCCCGGCATTGCCACAACTTGTGAACTTGCTGAAGGGACTGAGGCCGATGCATCATGAAGATAACCTCCATAAACTTGAGGCTGTCCTGCCGGAAACTGCAGAGACATCTGATCCTGCAATGGAAGAGCAGGTTGCTTTCTCAGGTGTTGAGGTAAAGGGGGTGGTGAAGCGAAGACGTGTGCTTGAGGGGGCTCTGGATTTCTTGAGACCGCCGTCTGAGACCTCAAGGCTTGCAATTCCAGTCTAAGGATCTCTGTCCCTGCTGAGACCTTTAAAGGACTTTCGCCAAACTTAGTCTTTTCGTCTCACTTGGTCTTTTGGTTTTCCTGGCTTGGTTCTTCTGATTTTCCTGGCTTGAATCGCTCCACGACAGATCCGACAACCGGCCACGGTCTCTGCCTCGGAAAGCTAAGCATGCACTGTTTGCAGAGTCCTCAGCATGAGGTTTGGGTTTTGAGGTTTAGTGATTTAGGGTTTTTAGGGATTTAGGGTTTAGGGTAAGACATGTTCCACCCACACGCCTTCACTGTAAGTCCGAGAGGACCTCCGCTCCCCGTCCCCGATTGGTCTGAGAGGACCTCTCATGAATTGGTCCCAGGAGGACCACTCATGAATTGGTCCGAAAGGACCACTCATTGGTCCGAGAGGACCCTCACTTTCCACCCACCCCTCTTCCCTCCATTGGTCCGAGAGGACCTGTCATCTCACGGGTCCGCCCACCCCTCTTCCCTCCAATGGTCCAAGAGGACCAACCCATGGGTCTGAGAAGACTTGTCGTGGGTAGGGCATTGTGTTACTTCAAGACAGTGTGGTTTTAAACCCGCTTAGCTGCCAAAAGTCTATTTCAAACAGTCATGCTGACTCATTATTCTTAAAGAGACGAGTCAGTTAAGATCCTAAGGCTTCGGGAATTGGAGTTCTGCATGAGTTGAAACATGAAGATAGGACGTATCAGTCAATGTCAAGTAGTCAATGTTGAGTTGCGTAGTAGTAGTTCATTTCTTAGCTCTTCATGGGTGCTCATGAATATGGCGGTGAAGCGCCACGGTCATCATTGAGGTCTAGGGTTTAGGGGTTAAAGGTTAGGGTTTAGGGTGTATAGGAAGTAACATTTAAATTATTAAGCCTATTGCCTCATCATGCCGGGTACTACAGGTCATAACTTAATCCTTTTTTTTAATGAGTTCGTCCTATAGTGATTACAGGTCTTCTCAGACCCCTGAGCACATTAAATCTTATCATGCTTCCCGGCACGCCTTCCAAACATCATCCGCCTGGGCCACACACGCCACACACGCACTCTCAGGGCTTCCAACGTAACGTGCGATGAACATTTGTTGCCTTAAGTCGTATGATTGGCACTTTAAATATACTCTAGACTTGGCCTTGGAATTCTGAAATCAGGTACTACGCAATACTCATCTGAACATGGAGCTAGTAATTATTGCCATGTACTGTGTACTGACAGGCACTCAGCATGGAATGGACTTACTAGTGCCGAGCTCCCCACGGATGGCTCATCACGTTGCCCCGGCCTGTCAAGAAACTAGTTGCACCCAGTCTTCTGAGTTCAATGTGCTTGCATCCTCCAGCTCCAATGCTGTGCTGGACAGATTTTTTCAGTTGCTCGAGTCTCGCTTGTCGTCCCAGCGCCCGCGCTCCCAATCCGTGTTGGACCACTTCCAGCCTTGCAGGCCACTCACAGCCACGAGGATTTACTCAGGACCGCTTTCCCGCCTCCACCCCGGTCCGACCATCCCGACCACGAAGACCATCCATCACCTCGGAATCACGACAATCAGCTTGTCATACCTCATGTTGAATGTAACGCAGGCAAAAGACGCCACCAGCTATCATCCTGCTTCCCCTCATCCTCGCTGCTGTCCACTTGGAACTCCTGAGCGGGGTTTGCAGGCAAACCTGCAGCTTAAACCTCCAATGCCCAAGCTTGTGGCCGGCGTTGGAGTTCTTGGCTCCGGCACCGGGAGGCCTGTCGCTTTTAATGACCAGAGCCGTCTCACACTGAATGCGTGACTCATTAAGTTTTCACGGCCCAACATGAAATAAACCCTATTGAAGGCAATAAGTGCTTGTTATTAATAATAAGAAACTGCATTCCGCAGCACGCCTGCCGGAGGAGCCTTTGTTGCAGGCGCATGGCCTGGCGGCTTTGCCGCAAGCACTTTCGGTTTCAACAGGAGGCCTGGCGAGGCAAAATCTAAATTTGTCCACAACACCCCATGCCACAACAAGAGCCTTGCGCGCTTTGCGAAGCCTTTCCACCAGGGCCATCGTGCAGGAGGCTTTCCAACAACTCGCCTCAGAGTTAGAGCGCTAGACACTGAGCCCAGAACTGGAAATCTTTCAGCCCATTGCCATCTCTGAGAGGTCTGTCTCTCTTTGACCCGCCTCGATAGCACGTGCGGAAAAATGCAGGACCACGCTCACGTAACTTAACTGAGACCCGTGACTCGACGATTCACCACGATGACGGTGCTCGCGCCTCCGACCTGAAATCTTAAATGAGTTCGGGGCACGGTCATCTGGAATCTAGCTACAGGGAGAAAGGAAATCTAAGCTGGTGGCTGGCGTCCTCTCGGCCTTAGAGACTGCAGAGGCAGCATCCACAACCAAACACCGTGCGTTTGTTGAGCAGCTGGCGATCACCGTCACTGCTGGCACTGGCCTCTGCGCTGCCTCGGGTAGTCAAAAAATTAAGTGAACATATTCCATGCCAACATAGATTCAGACTGATGATGCTCAGGTTCCTGCTGCGCATGGAATGCCCTTGCGGCGATCCTGGGAAAGCAGTCACTTCGGAGTATTAATTTGACATTATTTAATTTACTGACTAGTAATTCTGATTCACATAGTAAATAGTAGAAAATTATGACTGGCTTTGGCGTCACTTATTCAGAAGACAGGCCTCCAGCACCTCCGCACGTAGTTGCCTTTGCCTCTCTTTGCAGGGAGCCTCTCGCGCTCGCCAGCTTTGGCATTCGCTTGGGTGTCAGTGCCGGCGGTGGCATAGATGCAGGTGGCTGACGGTTCCTTTATCTGCAGCTGGATTGGACGCCTCTTTGTTGGGTGGGGCTGCTGGCACGAATGTAGGAAGGATTGGACGCCTGGGTGGGGCTGCTGGCACGGATGCCTCTTTCTTGGGTGGGGCTGCTGGCTCGGATGTAGGAGGCTTTGGGGCAGGATTGGACGCGTCTGCCTTGGGTGGGCATTTCGGCATTGGGCGAGCGGCGCCTGAACCGACGACGAGTCTCTGATCTGAAGCTTTGTGCTTCCCCGCCTCTGTCGTTGGCTTCGCCGTGGGTGCCTTTGGGGATTCCTCCTCTGGCAGCTCCGTTGGCGTTGGCCGAGGCCGTATCAGCAACTGAAGCTGCCGGCTTCTCGTTCTGCTTCTTTTGTTCGTGATCCTCACTGGATGCCATGTCACAGTCGTCCTGTTCGTCTCGGGCCTCGTTCTGCTTCTTTTTTTCGTGCTCCTCACTGGGTGCCCTTTGTGAC